AGCATACATTAGTATTAGAAATGCGAAAGTGTGCCTGCCTGCCTATCTGTTACAATTACTGCTAAACGGCTTAACAGATCTTAATTAATTTTGTCATTAAGATAGATTTAATCACGACTTGACTTAAATTCTTTGGCATTATCTGTCATATTTGTTTTTCGAATTACTCTAATGCTGGCCGCAGCTGGCCTTTACAGCTGGCTTTTACCGGACGATAGGGGGCGAGTGCAGATGGCACTCCAAACCAAAGGAAAGACTTATGGAGCCGCTGAACGATGGAGATATATGTCCATCAGTGAAGGCCAACTCCCGCCTAACGGATACTACTTCAGTCTGAGGGCACCGCTAGGAGTTCAAATATAGGCTCGCCAACTCCCGCCTAACGGATATTACTTCAGTCTGAGGGCACCGCTAGGAGTTCAAATATAGGCTCGCCAACTCCCGCCTAACGGATACTACTTCAGTCTGAGGGCACCGCTAGGAGTTCAAACATAGGCTCGGGCCGTCGTAATTTCGATCCCTGTGTGAATTGGGCGGGGGATCGATCGGAGGGGCTATCTATCATCTCTCTAGTGACATACCAACATAAAACATTTAAGTTATCCTAATTACCTAGTGAATATATTAGTTTGTAAAAGAATAGGTGATAATTGTGTTATGGGACATTTATACTAATAGCTTTACTAATTGGTTTAGTTTTACAATGTAACCGATAAGGATGTTCCCGGATAACTACACTTAAACAACGTGATAAAGTTACAATGATTAACCATAACCATAGACAAGATAGAGGTTTAAGCATAGACATTTTTGATATGATTAATTTAATAATATTATCAGAGGGATTAATAATAATAATAATAAGTAGGATAATAACAAAGCGCCATCGAGCTAAGCAGAACTTGTATGTGTGTACTAGATAAGTGATAATTAATAAATAAATAAATAATAATAGTGATAGTGATAATTAAAGATAAATGATAAGAAATATTTAAATAGATTTTGTAAATACATGTTTCTTACCAATCTCCTCCGAAATGGCTTTGCCGATTTTTATGGAATTTTGTGTGCATATCCGGTAGATATGTCAATCCGCCAACATCTATTTTTCGACGATATTTACGATGAGGTAAGACTCACTCCTAAATATTTTGATGAATTTTTAATTTCAATTTTTTTTATGATTCAGCGTAAAAAATACACAGAATTTAAATTTCATTTTTCTACCACCAACCTTTTAAATAGTTCTTTTAATTTATATGGCAAAACAACCTTCGTTGGGTTAGTTAGTATGTATATAGAAAACACACAGACCAATACAAACATTCATACTCATGAATACAAGTTAGCATCGTGCATCATCGAGGATCTTACCCGCGATCATGGCAAGTAAGGCGGTGTGCTAAACTGCTAGACCATCGGGCCATCAAAGGACAGTAATAGTATAGAGAACATAATATTACTTAGTAATAGTATGTAATGTTATGTTATCTGTGGTAATAGGGACTAGTGACTCCATTACTAGCAATGTATTATATGAAATCGACCTCCACGCGGTCTCCGCTAGGAACATACTAATAATATTACAAAGTGGTTTGTGGTGTATTATCGAAGTATATTTTTTTGGCTATAAAAAACAAATATAAAAGAACTTTATATGAAAATATCTTTTGGTTTTTCCGTTAATATATAAAAATGCGAACAAAAGGCGACAGTATCGCGTAAAGCAATCTCTTACAGACACACTGGGAGATAGAAGTTTTGAGTAAGGGAAAAAGATAGGTGGCACATTATAAAAATAGAATTAGATAATATTGGAATGCTAAATACATATACATATAAATACTAAAGATATATATATATATTTTATATATATATAAATAAAATATGTCTAACTAAATAATAAAATACATGTATAACAAAATAAAACATTACAGAAAGATTTTTCTTTATTCATGTTGAATTATCACGATGAGATGAGATGAATTGACCTCATGCTCATTCTATCATCCTTCACTGGTATCCTTCCAGCGTATTCTGTTAGGTGCAGGCGGGTGCACCTAACTATTATATTTTTACTACATGCATATGAATATAAATACGGTACATACACTAAAATAAACAATTTTTGTCTGTCTGTCTGTTTGTTTGTTCCGGCTAATCTCTGAAATGGCTGGACCGATTTCGACGGGACTTTTATTGGCAGGTAGCTGATGTAATAAGGAGTAATTTGGCTACTTTTATTTTAGAAAAATAAAGTTAATTTCCACGCGGACGATGTCGCGGGCACAGACAGTCATTCATATAAAAAAATGCTGTTCCCTACACTGTATGACTAATTTCCGGATATTCTAAATAACAAATTGATGTCTCTGAATTGTCTCTTTTAAAAATACAACTTTTCTTATATCTTAAAAGCGTTTCAACTCGGGACATATTGGTTTTGATAACAAAAGGGTGTGATGCATACGATCATTAGCGCCTTTTATATTCACGCTTTTATCTTTGGGGCCGGCAGATGTAAATGGCAATTGTGGTCTAATGTTTCATCTAAAGCCGCAACAAAACCATAGAGTACTGTATTAAATTTACTAATCTTTGTACCGAGACAGTTTTTGTACAGTTATCTGTGTGGGTACATACGTATGTCTTAAATAGTTCTGCCGCTAAACATCTTGCTTTGTATCGCTTTGATGGGTGAGCTATGCCAGTGAAATTTTAGGGTATAATGGTAGAAAGTATTTTTTTATGTAACAGCATTTGTGTGGATACGAACTATATGTACCCGGGGAAAGAAGATTGTTAGTAATGATGTTAATGGTTGATAATCTTATTGCTAGCAATGTACCATGTCAAATTGACCTCCACGCGGTTCTCCTGGAAACCATCGTGATACATTCTTGGTGAATCTGCCACGATGGGCTAACTGACCTGACCTCATGCTTGTCTTATCCTCCACTGGTGCCCCGCCAGCGTAAACCGTTAGCACAGGCGGGTGTATCATTCCATTATCAGAAAAAAAACTATTTTAACCCATTCTATAACCACTGTACACACCACATTCCTCGCAAATAAACAATATCTACCACATCAAGACAGGCTAAAACGACGAAAGTTTAAAATTAAACTATATTATTACTGGTATACTTAAGTGACTTACCGCCATTTAAACCGAGTTTCTAATTCTGTGTGATTATCAGACATAAAGAATTAATCTTGTTAAATCCAACATAGAATCTAGTGCCGCGTAGTAAATTTTAATCCGCAGTTTTACGGCGTTAACCGCGAGTTACTTTTATGTGGGCCGTGAGCGCTATTTTTAGGGATCCTCATTTGAATTAATAACAACGATTTACGATTGGACGAGTGAATCTGTCACCATCATTTATAATGGTGTTTTATAGTGAAACTACCGGTTTTTAATACGGAATTCTACTTTGAAGTATATTTTTTATAGTCTTCCTTTTTCTATGTTATATTTATATTAGTTTTTCTCTTTAAATGTTATTTAATACTGTCAATTAATGAAGTAAAAATAGATCAATTAAAAAATAAATTTAATCAGTATATTTTTGTAAGGGATGATAATGGAATGGTGCACCTGTCTGCGCTAACAGTATACCCTCACGGAGTAACAGTGGTGTTTCAGACATCCATAGACTACGGTAACGTCGGGCCGTATGGTTGTATGATAACGTCGTAGTATAAAGAAAGTGGAGAATGATAGGGTGAGCATGCAGTCAAGTCAGTCAGTGATAAAATCACCAGATATTAGTGATAATGGTTTCCAAAGGTTGCCAATCACCACTCCAAAACGTATATCATGATAGCTATATATATTTTTTTGTGTCTATGTCAAATCATCACGTCATATTAATATATTGAAAGGTTGAAGAGAGAGGATTGTTAATGGGGACGAGAGATAGCCTTGCTGGTGTGTATTACATATATAAAGCTGCTTTGCGGCAGAAATTCAAAGTCTCCCCCATTAAATGTAAATGAACCCTGGACAATTCTCACACCGACATCTAGTCCCATGCTAAACAGAACTTATACTAAACAAGTGCTAGAATAAATACATACATAATACACAAACCAATACAAAAGTTATACTAATGGATACAATTGTTTGTACAGTGAATCGAACTCGCGACCGTCTAAAATAAGAAGTGTGTTAAACTGCTACACCACCGAGATCGTCGATGAAGTCTTAAACATTTGTTAATAATAATTTTCATAAGTAACTGTGACTAATGTCATTATATATTCAGTACTAGTTTCAATGCATACGTGACATGACAATATTCCATGATTCATGTGGTTAAGGAGTACATAACATACATACGGTTTTACCAAGAAAAAAAAACAATGCATAAATGAATCACGGCCATTCAAGAGAATCCAGTGAAAAGAATTATGTAAAGTTACCCACGACCTATGACACGTTCCCAAAATTAAAAAATAAACACCGCCTGCCATTACGCGGCAAGAAGCCGCGCGCGCGGTCATAAATTAAAAAAAAAACAAGTGTGAACTCTTTGATACGTAAAAAAAAATAAGTTTGATCAACCTTATTTCTCAGTTATAAAGTTGTAATTCGAATACCGCGGGAATTGTCAACGAACACTTTGCGCCGAGACGTAAAAAAAGTCGTAAGACAACAATTCAAACTGGCCGGCAATAAAGCTAGTCTAGTTTTATACCAAATAGCTTTAATTTTGATATACTTTATGTCAATGACATAAGACACAAAATTAATCATTTCTGTCAAAAAATTGACACCAACGACGTGATGTCACGTGATAATACCCTTTTGGTCTGTTAAAGGTGTTTCCTTCACTGAAGAGTTTGTCAGAAGTACTTACCTGTAAATTGATACACAATGTTTTTATTTCGCGTATGCCAGACTTGAACTCACGATCTTTTGTGCATAAATTTGAGTAGTGAAGCACAAGGTTACTATGCTCTCAAAATAAAACTAATAGATCTTAAAACTCTTATTTATTTCATTTTATCATTATTACTGTTCATATAGTCTATTGAATACGCATTTTGATTAACGACTGAGTTAGTATTTGATTTCTAATTAAAATTATTTCACTTCTTTTCAGGACACTGCTGTTTCCTTGGCTGAGGAGGTGGAGGCATATCATCCTTACAAGGAATTCTCTCTCTCAAAGCAAATCCCTTCCCACAATACAAATTGTACGCATTAATAAACCCCTTACCAGTATTGAAGAGAAAACTCCTGAACGCCTCATCAGTTTCTTTCGGGAAACATAATGCTCCTCCAGCCAAAGCACCAAGTCCCGTGAAGAACAAACGACGAGGAATACCTCTTCCAGACCCTAATAAGAACCCTGTTGCAGTACTGGTTGCAAGAACTGCTTGACGCAACTGTAAATTCTCAGGGCATCTCATGTATCTCTTGAAATCCTTCTTAGAAGAGTTTATAGACGAGCATATGTCCTTACAAGTATTCTTTAACATACATCTGGTTTCATTGAACTGTTCCTGGATACATCTCCTATAGCATGCGACGCGTGGAAAGAGATAGTTGTGTATTAATTTATCATTCGCTTCAGGACACCTTTCTTTCTGCGCTATATGATCTTTGTAATCGTAGTGTGGACTTTTATATATTGGTAAATCTTTATATTTCATAGGAGGAGGTCTTTTCGGACATTCTGCAGGCTTTGCAGCCTTCACAACTGGTACTAAACTCATCCTTGCTCCAACCAATACATATTTTAAAGCCCTTATCCAAATCTTTCCAATAACGCATAAGTCGCCATAACATAATCTGGTAAGAGATCTTTTCATTTCATCTTCAGACTTAAATATTTCACTATCTTCTTCCTCTTCATTGTTATCGTTTGTTTGTTGAGATTCTAGTGGTTTCATTATGAAAAATTCTATTTTATATATGAAGGGTTTTACAATAATTTTGACGGCTAAATTGTTTTTATTGTTATGACATTGTCTGTCACATTTGTTCGTAGATGGAGAATGTCACTTAAAATAGATCCTGTTAGGAATTTATTATACGTAGGTCAACTTAGACTTCCAAGGACATGAATTCGCATCTGGCTAACATGCATCAGTTAATATTCCTGAACACCCGGAGTGTTGGTCAGGAATATTGATGGAAAGACTAATAAGAAACCAAACAGAAACGGTGGTAGGCTTTCTAGAGATAAAAGATAGAAATATAGATGATGAGAAATAGACAGTAGTACAATCTATATATGTATATTTCATCAAGATCTATTCAGTCAATGAATTCTGAAGCAGAAACACAGATATACTTTCGTATTTATAATATTAGTATAATTCAAGCAAGAATACAAGGCGGACTAAAACCGAGCAGGAGCCGTACGTCATGGCTAAACAACTTAAGACAGTGATTCGGGATTAGCACCAGATCCCTGTTCAGAACAGCAGTGGACAAAGTTGAGATCGTCATGATGATCGCCAACCTCCAGTAGAAGGTGACACGTAAAAAAGAAACATGTATGTTTACTCCATCGTCACACGTAGTTCGTGTACCTCGGACTATACGATCAAACACCGGTAGCAGCAAAAACTAATCTCGAACCAAAGACGATATGGATTCAATTACAACTCAATGCAATCCTGGGATTGCAGCGGAAAAATTGAAACGTGTCATTTCATACATTTGCCCAGCTATTTTCCACGGCCTAACCTATCAACCTGGACTCTATTAGAAGGACGTAAAGTTGAAAATGTCTGCGTGATTGGAACATCAAATATTGGATATTTGATGTTCTGGAGTTTGAAATATAGGAAGACACGTTGATTGTCTCATAGATGGGAAATAATAAGTTTTCTATTTATGGCATAAGTAAATAGAAATCGGTTTATTTACTTGTATTTACTATACAAAATCTTGGTAACATTGATGAGTTACTATGACTTACCTTCAAATGTGCAAGATTTAAATTTTCAGAGTTAGTACCCATAACACAAGCTCTGCATACCGTGGGACTAGATGGCGCTGTGTTAAATGTCCAGGGATATTTATTTATTTATTTAATTAGAAATCTTTACATAATATAAAATGACGTAGCTTCCACTGTCTGTTCGCTTAGATCTTTTAAACTACGTAACGGATTTTAATGCAATTTTTAGCAATAGATACAGTGATTCAAGTGGAAGGTTTATATGTTATAATACACCTGTGCGAAGCCGGGGCGGGTAGCTAGTGAGGCATAAATTAAACGCAACAATGAAAGCTTCTGGCTATACAATAATATTATTGGAGAACAAAAGGCTATTATGAGTTTATCATGTGTAGGTGCAGTATTATTGAGAACTGAACTTGGTACTTACAACACTTGAAGTCACGTCTATTATTAGAACGGTTTAAAATAAATTATATTTAACTAGTAACGCACTCCGGCTTCGAACGGGTATTTCAAACAATTAACACAAAACTTAAACGAATTACAGACCTTAACCTGCCTCGAAAATCTATTGAAGGATCAAAACCATACGACGAAGAGTTTAATGGTTTTTGAGATTATCACGAACATACACATTACACACATATGACGGGAAGTTTGTTTTATAATACATTTAGAAGATAATATGTATACATAACATTTAGTAAATATAATAGAAAACTGATTTAGTAATTTGATGAAAATGAACCTAGACCTTTCCAATTGCATGGTGAATACTAAAAACAACAATTTTATTTTCCCATACAAACTGTCAAACAGGGTGTGTTCAGGAATTTATTCTGATGCTGAATGGAGTTCGCTGGGTCAGCTAGTAAACAATAAATGCTTATCTGGAAACCATGATGATTAATTCATCGTGAATTCACTATAATGACTGACCTGACCTCATGCTCGTCCTATCATCCTTTACTGGTGCTCTTGCAATGTATACTACCGTTAGCGCAATGATGACCTATCCATTGTCAGCCATTTAAAAAAAATTGTTAAATAACTAGTCTGGCCATAAATACTGTTACCACAAATAACATAATAGTTACATAAAAACTTTTTTTTTTATTATTTTGAATTTGAATATTATTTTAAAAACTTCTTTCGATTTTGCGCCATTTGACATACTTTTTCGTGTTCATTGTCAAATTACAATATGGAATGGGGTGTTAATGAAAATAGGATTGCAGTAATAATCTTGCATAAAGTGGGTATGGAGCCGTTTTGCTGAGACTTTAATAAATATGTAGGTATAAATACTAATAATACTATATTACTTCATTAAAAAAAAATACATTTTTATTTGTAATAGAACTTATGGCTGGATGGGCTGGTCTCCATGAGGGATTTTCTCAAAGTAAAAAAAAAAGGTATAATAAACTGTGGTAATAATGTGACAACATTATACTGTGCTTCTGAGGTAGATATACATATAGTTAGTTGCCAAAGTAAATGCGTCAATATGTCATTCTTGAATGACTACGTTGTATTCAGATAATTATTCTTAGAACTTGTTATCGTGATATATATATTAGGTACAGTTGGGTTAATAATATACATAGATGGTCTCGGTGGTCTAGTGGTTTAGCACGCCGCCTTGCTTCCGATGGTTGCGAGTTCGATTCCTCGCACGGTGCAAAATTTGTATGATTGTCTCCATGAGTATGATTGTTTGTATCGGTCTACGTGTTTTCTGTGTACAATATGTATATTTTATGTATTTACGGAAAAAAATATATATGTATTTGTATCAGTTATCTAGTGCCTATAACACAAGCTTTAGTTAGCTTAACTTGGGTCTAGATGGCGCTGTGTGAATTGTCCTGACACTACTATTATATTTATTGGTTTTTGAATCACGTCATCTTACAAAATCTTACAATTTTAATTCATTTTTTATTCATTCCATCATCATCATCAGCATCTCAGTCCGGAAAACGTCCACTGCTGTACAATTGTTCATTTATTTAATAATAATTGCGTATGAAAATTCCATGTATTCTTATACAATCAATTGTAGACGGTATGCACAATTTTTTACAGTACCAAACTAAGAAAACTACTGTATTAATTTTAAAGTATTTTTTTTTTAATCTGTTATACAAATATGTTCTATACTCTATACCAATTACATTTGCTTCTTAATTATTATCCACTGAATATCTCTATCAAACTTGAATATATTTTTTTTCTAATATACATAAATAGAAAAACAGACAAGCATACTTATAAATACAAATATTTATATCGTCTAAGAATTAAATCCGCGACCATTGTATTTACAGATCGTAGGTCTGTTTGCCATCATTGCATTGTAAAAAAGGCCGACTAAAAATTTTATTTATTGCAGGAAGAACCAGGTGCCGTCAGTAGTCTGCAACAATCGGGAGAATGATCAGTGAAAGTCTAAAGTTCTGGATTATGATACTATTGTTTTTTTGAAGATGCGTTTTGTTATCTTATTTTATTACATGAACATATATTAAATGGAAGAGACAGTGATTTATTAATTTCAATATTTTCTATCTGTCTGTCTGTCTCGCCTAGACGGCAAACCTACTGAGCCGATTTAAATGAAATTTGGTACACAGATAGAACACAGATACAGTCTAGACTCTGAGAAAGGACATAGGCTACTTTTTAATGTAAAAAGAGTTGTAAGGGGTTGATGGGGAGATGAAAAGTTGTCGTTCGGATGAAATCGTCATTATTAAAGATAGATAGTTGAAACTTTTCTTTAGGCTTTTGATTAAATATTATATAAATACATATGACATTCAAAATTTGCAAAAAAATGTACCCTTAAGGGGATAAAATAAAAAAGGGGATAAAAGTTTTTAGATAGTTTAGATTTGTATGAAAAATCGTCATTTTTGTAATAAGAAGGATGAAACTTTTTCTTTGAGTTTTGTTGGGTTTGATTAATAAATATTTAGTGCTATCACGTCACGTTCACACAGACAAAGTCACGGGCGCAGGTAAATCAATAAGTTTTATAAATATTATACTCTCTAATATTACCTAACTAGCTCACCCGCGTAACTTTGTCTGCATCACACTTACTTGACATTTATCATTATATTTCGCTCAATTTACATATTATCCATTTAAATTATAGCTGATATCTGATGTATAAGCTATATCACTGTAAAGTTTCATCAAAATCCGTTCAGTAGTTTTTGCGTGAAATATTAACAAACATCCAACCGTACTCACAAACTTTCGCGTACATAATTTTAACTTTTACCCGCGGCTTTGCTTGTGTAACTTCATTACTGGCTGCTAGATGGCGCTGAAGTATCAAAATGATGATTTTTTTTTGTATTTTATTAAAAATATTTGTATTTAGAACATGTGTACAAAATTTCATGAAGATCGGTTTAGTAGTTTTTGCGTGAAAGTGTAACATCCCTACCTTTACATTTATAATGTTAGTAAGGATTAAGATTAAAATTTACTGTTATCCTAGGTCACGTCTATGCGGACGAAGTCACGGGCACAGCTAGTATATGAATAAGTTTATAAATATACTCTTCAATATTACCTAATTCGACGCAACCCACCGATATGGTGGATATGCCTCGAGCATTTCATAAACAATGGCCGATTACTTTTACTGGCCATTGTGTACCTTGTTAACTACACAACTACTACAACGATCATAACCATAACGTAGCGGGTGTGACCCAACACATTTTTTTTAAACATTATGACGCCTACGAAATTCTTCTTTAAAATGGTGTTACTACTGAGCAAATAATCACTACAGCTGGACTTTGTTCAAAGTGTACAGACTTTGAACAAAGTGTGATATTGATTTTTATATCTTTCTTTTTAAAAATTAATAAGTTTCTATTGAGCATATAAATAAACTTATGATGAGTGATGACTTACGGCACAGTGACGTGGTCGCTAACTATGGGCCTCATGAACAAGCTCAGAGTCACTAAGAGGGCAATGGAGAGGGCTATGCTCGGAGTTACTCTGCGTGATCGAATCAGA